GAGAGGGAAAATATTCATAAAATTTGGGTTGCGAAGCGGCTTGAAGATCTTGACATATGAATTATCAGTAGCGTGTATGTAGCAGTCCAAATTTGTTGATTGTCTAGTACAACAATCATGTATGCTTTGTATTACTGTATCTGAGGTGAAAAAACAGCAGCAGCACCAAACAGCTTAGCAAACAAAGTGAATGAAAAAAAAAAAAACTAGTTAGTCCACGCTAAGTTCCGCCCCTTCTGCTGCAGACAATTCTCAGACATACAGATTGTTTCTTGCCCTCAATTCTTGCAAGTAGTTGTTCCACATTGCCCTCGCAATCCTTGCCCGCTTTGTAAATGGGAGGCAACGAGAAGGCAAAGAGCACTTCCTTGAAATATCTGTAGATAGTGTTAGTATAATGGGATAAAATACAACGGAAGCTCATATACCTTGATATTGTATCATTAGAACACTGAAAGTGTTCTCCAAGATGCCTCACTGAAAGCCCTGTAACAACAGTATAAAGAAAAATTGCTAATTTCTCTTGGAGGGTTATGTTAGTTTTGGTGATTCTGCACCTAGTTGTGCTATCTATTTTCCCTTCTTTCTAAATCACTTTCCTCTTTATTCTTTTTACTCTATTGTTCAGTATTCACTGAGCATTCTATAATTTTGCCTTTGTGGCTGATTTGTTTACCTTTGTTTACAAAACTTCGGACTAGTATTGCAGAGTCCAGTATTCCTATTCTTTAGTTACTCATACTGGACTCTAGGTACTGTACACATTCTGTACTCTCTGATAATATAGTTACTCATACTGGACTCTAGTTCTGTCCCTGTTAGCTCTCAGCAAGTGGCTAGACACTTCCCAGAAGTTCTCAATTGAACAGGTTATATGTCGTGAACCTTCATGACCAGCATCTTTCAGTGTCTCAATTAATTTCTCAAATACATTAGGTGGACTCCTAGTTTGCAGCAAATTTGTTCTGGATGTCCGTTCATGAGTTCCAACACCCATCCCTGTCCAGGAAGAGCAGAGGTGTGATAGGGTTGTTTATCCAGGACTGACTTGGTGTGATGAGTTGAGACTGCACCTGCAGTGGTGAAAAGGAGTGTTGCTGCCTGGTTCAATCTGTGCTGTTGATTGATGATCAGTTGTAGTACTAAAATGGTTTGCTGTAGCGTTGTATTCCGCTGGCCTGCAACCAGGTCAGTTTGCGGGCGAGGACTGTTGTTGATATCCATGCTTAAGATAAGATTGATGGAGATGGAACATGACGGAGCAAGATAAGTTTTTAAAAGTCCGCATATTTGGTTTTATTTGACACCAACCCAAAGCTTTGCTTATGGCTTCAGTCTTGAGTGTCCAAAGGAGCTCTTAAGGAAAAAGACGCTGCGGCATTAGGCAGCATCTTGTCGGACGTTGAAGGCACAGCACATGTAGCTGAGGCGAGTTATGCAGCATCCCATCCAACACTCATCACTTGCTGTCCAACAATCTCCCCATCCATGGCTCCACAAAGCAAGAAAACTCACCCTCCTGATTTGTCTCAGAGAGCCTCACTCGCCCCCTCCACAGATTTGAGCCAGCAGACAGAAGGCACCTGGCAGCTTCAGGTTCAGTGGGAAAAAGAGCCCGCCCAGACTCAGAGGCTCATTAACTACTTGAATACGCATAAAAAGCACTGTGCTGCTTTATTTTCAGATTCCACATCAGGAAAAACCATTTTGCTATATAGCTAAGCATGTTTCTATGGCTTCTATAACAGCTATAGCATTACTATAATAGTCAAAAAATTTCTATAATAGATATCATAACTGCTATGGTAGCTATAGCAGCTATAGTAGCCATAATGGCTTGTTTCTATCTATGGGAACTTTGTTCTGATGGTGATGAAAACACTATTATTACTCACTAAAAGGTTTGGCATATATATTAGCCTGCTTATCTATGTAATAAAAGTCTATCACATATGTCCCAAATATTGTCTGTATATTTCAGCAACCAGGCATTGCTATAATAGATGCTATAGGAGCTATAATAGCTTGTTGTTTTCCATGAGACATTTTTATGGTGGTGATGAGAATGCTCTTATTATTCATACAATATTTTGTTATGCAGGTAAATTAGTCTCATAGTTTTATAAAAATCTATCACAAATATTCAATTGTACAGATACTAAAGAACACTATTAACATCACATCAAAGTTGAAGTGTTTTGCTTGATGCACAAGGATGGATTTAGGCGGAGTTTGAATATGTGGCACCAAAGCGAATTTTCCAGCAGTTGACTTTGAACACTATAATAGAGTGTGTGAAAATGGATAATGTCACTGTCCATTTTCACACACTTCCTATGATTAGATTAGACTTTGTGCCATTTTTTTTTCAGAGTCAGCTCTTGATGTATACGTGACACTAGTGTTATGTCACAAGTCACATCACAGCTCAGTACATTTGGACATTTCACTTGGATTTTCTCCATCTTTTGCAACAAAGTCAAGCTAAGTATCTTAGCTTAATGTATGTTTTCTTTTTTACAGTTATCTTATGTGACACTAGTACAAGCTCTGTTTATTCTCAGCCACCATCTGCATTGGCATAAGCGCTATAAATGCCCCCACTATATTCAACCACCACATCACAAGTCTACCTCCAGGTATAGTTTGTGTCCAGAATTCTTATATATGGGACTCATCAGTTCTAGCTATCCCCACTGATGTCTTTTGTCATTACAGTGGTTTATTGGTATATGTATAACCACTTTTATTTTTTCTGAGTCATTGGTGAATAGGCAGAGGTAAGTTCACAAATCTAATACTTGGTAATCACTTATTGGATTATTGCCTTGCACAGACTTGATGGGTTATCAAGCAAAGCTCACAAGCCATTCATGAAATTGTGGTGAGTAATTTCATGGTAGCATTTATATAACATTATTGAGTGCATTGTACACAGTATGAATAACTTATAGTATCTGATTTAAAGGTATGTTTTAACTTTGTTAGGATAGTTTATCATTATATGTGTTATATAACCATATTAGAAATATATGTTGATTCTACTGAATATGACCTCTGATTATAATACAAGTAAAAATAATGTAAATGCCCTGGAATAATATTTTATGGTAGTGATAGCTTTTATGTTCTATGGTAGCAGTTATATTAGAGGTATAGTACATGTATTACAGAGGTGCTATCATAACTGGTATAGCAAATGTCTCAAAATAGTGCTGCTATATAGGGCTATATAATAGGGACTTGTCTAGGCGTACTATAGCTACTATTTTCCCTATATAGCATTATGGTGGCTATAATAGCTATAAAAGGCAGCTAGGTTTTTCCTGATGCACCAAGGAGGCAAAGTCCTGTGGTCACCGCAAAGTTGTTAGCAGGAGTAGCTCTAGCAAATCTGATGTCCACACTATTATTGCACATCATATATTCTCTGTTGATGAACATGCTAACAATCCGCAGAAGTATGCTCAGGCAGTGGATAACCATCTTTCAGAGTAAGTCCCAATGCCCCCATTTTTTAAAATGGCTAATTTGATCTTATCACACAGTTTGAAAACTAATTATCAGGCCTTTAATCGCAAACTCGGCTCCACCAGTTCAGGCCTTTGCTATAGTAATATTGAGCCAGGAACTCATGCCTGGAATCTGATTGGTAAGTCCCTCCCCTCCTCCTCCCCCTTCTCTTTGACCTTGCGGTTTTTTTAACCACTTTTTCTTTCAGAAAAACTTAAAATCAACCTCCCATGGTAGGAGGATCTGCACAGCTGGTGGAGGGAGATACCATCCATCCAAATTTCCAGTTGTTGCCAGCTGAGGCCCCAACTACCACCTCCTCGTACAGACCCTCCTCCAGCATCTACTTGTACAGACCCCACAGTGTCTGCTCTTGACCAGAATGTGCTGTAGTCTATACAACATCTACATGCTGCCCTGGAGGTGCATCCAGGATATGTGTGCAGCCCTGCTGGCACAACTCTACAACAACTGCTGAACCAGATCCCCCCTCCTTCTGTAACGGACAACTCTTTGCTTCATACGCTGAGCCTTGAGGAGGACTCAGAACTACACAGTGTTAGGTCTGTGTTTAGGGCCAGGGGTGTGAGTTGTGCTCACAGCCCAACATTTAGCCCCCCTCGAGGACACGAAACCTCCCCCCCATTCTTCTCATCCTCACATTCACCTCAAGCCTCCATGTATGCCATCTCCCCTACTTTACAGGTGGGGGGATGGCAATCATTTTACCAGCCTAGTGCAGGCTCAGATTCTGACACCACCAGCTTCTCATCCTTCCCCCCAGGTCCATCTGGCTCTACCTCATCAGCATTCACCCCCCCCCCCTCACCCAGAAGACTTCTAGCAAGAGTGGGTGCGGATCAGTGCACACCAAGACACTTGAAGAGGCCAACAGCCAGCTCCTTGTGCTACTCAAAGGCAGCAACATTATCAAACACCAGAAGCTTGACCTCAAGGTCAAGATCCTGAGTGATCAGGAGGTTGAGCAAGAGCATGAACAGGAAATGCAATGTGAACGCTATGAATCTGAGCAGAGTCTTGCACAGGCTCGTGTTAAGGAGGCCCACATCAAGCTCATGACAGTGAAGATTCAGTTTGCCATGCAGTGTGCCTCATCACAACCCCCAGTGTTTGGGGATGAGGCTATGTAAGTGTAGTATCTGTAGCTATATACTTGTGGTATACTTGTTTTTTGTTTTTTCTCTCTCATTATTGTGGTTATTGCTCCCCCCATGGATAATGCTTGAGTATGCTCCCCCCCCCTTTTTTTCTGTTATATATTGTATGTTGCTTTGTTGTTACATAATAGTATGGACTATATAATTGTATGTCTTATATGTTTGCAATATCATGCTGCTTTTGCGTGTTTCATTATGAGTTCTTGTTGTAAGACTTTGTCACTCTAGTTCTTTCTGTAAAATGTAAGACATAATATATAATATTCAATACACAAGGTACATAATAGACACAAGAAACAAGATATTTATTTAAGCTGGAGCTCTGGCCAGAGCTCTTAAGATTGGATCCATAAGACTGTCACAAAAGTTCTGGCCATGGGACAAAGAATTATCAAAAGCAGGTATCCCCTTATCCTCTGTCATCTCTAAGTCTTCTTCCTCATCGCTGATTTCCTCCAATCCCTCCTCAAGAGCCCAATTGGCTGTATTTTCTCCCCTCTTCTCTTCAATATCAATAATCATGTTGTGCAAGATTAAACAGCATTTGATCCATGCCATTGCAAACCTATGTTCATTGGTATCATTATTGTTGATCCTCAAATTCTTGAGAGATTGAAAGTGTTCTCTCAAAGCTGCAAATGTATGCTCTGTACAGACACTTATCTAGGTGTCTAATATCAGTCAATAAGAGAGCATATAAGAATTGATCTACATACCTTGGATAGATGATAGTTAAAGACTTTCTGATTATGGGTGATCTGCCCACCAGGTGGTTTTTTGAATGGCACAACACACCACTTCTCACTGGGATAGGCAGAATCAGCCCAAATCCACTCATTGGGACCAAAAAGTGTTTGGTGTTTATTATAGATGTGAGTATCATGAAAGGCACTTGTTGTGAGTAGAACCAGCATGACCAGTACTGTAATCATAAATACGGAGGTTGTGGGGAGAAACCACAATCTGTGGAAGGCATTAACTAAGAGATAAAAAAGTAAAAAAGCTACTCACCTGACAACTCATAGAGTACCTTGATTTCCTGCTAAAATATTCTTCCCCATGGAGGCCAGGCTTCTGGTAAAGGTTAAAACCCGAATCATCAGCATATAACCATCCTCCTTCCTATGCCCTAGTGGTCCTACCCCTCACCCACTCTTTTGCTTTCTTCTTATCAGTATCTCAATCCTGGGGACACTTGGTATACAGAACATGCCTATTGAGAATTTCTATCATGACTTGCTCTGTATAGTTCACAATAGACCCAGTAAAAACTCCTGCTAATGTACCAGTGTTCTCAATAGAGGCTGCATTGCCATAGTGTCCAAAACGGAACATGGCACATGCAATCTGCTGCTCAGCAGGAGCTTATGGGTTATTAGAGTTATTATGAAAGCTTGGGTCATATTTCAGCCTCTTCACAATCTCAAAAAAAGTAGAGGAAGAGGTACACATCAGACGGCAAAAAATATGACAGTCATTTTCAGCCCATTCATGGAGATATTAAAATACAGAAACATAAGGGACCAAAGAACGATAGGTGAGAACACGAGTAAAAAGGATGACATCTTCAATGGCAAACAAATTGGCGGTATGAGCTAAGATGATATTGTACATACCAGAAAATGAAGAAGAGGAAGAAGAGTGGGAGGAATCAGAATCATAACCAGGCAATGACCCCCCTCAGGGAGCAATTCTATTTCAGAAATCAATTCAGCAATTTTATGCTAAATAAAGATATTCAAAGCATATTGAGCAGAAAGAAGCTGAGCTTGTTCAGAGACTCTAGTCATGGCTGAGACAGAACTTTAAGCTCTATTCTCAAGGTCCTGTCCTTATATATGAGCCTGGGGTGTTTCTGTGCTTCTACTAAGTTGTTATTGAACCTAGAGCATGCTATTTTTGCTCAAACTTACTCAACTACCCAAAGTGGCAGCTTACTAATCTCAATATCCATGCGGCATGACTGTGGCTGGTTTTTCTTTCTTTGCAACTATTTGGTATCTACTGACTTTAAATCCTACAGTATTGCCACTCAATGCCAGAGCATCTTTTTTCCTTAATGCTCACTTAAGGAGCACCCTAAGCGAACCTTAAGAACAGTGCTAGGCAAGGTTTGAGGGTCATTATTGGTTACCAGTCTATTTATAGCATGGCCCTCCAGGGCAAACCTACACCCAACCAAACCACAATCAATTTTTCAGTAGAGTATTTGAGTAGGCTCAGAAGAACTGGATAGCTGAAGGCATGTGCGCCAATATGACATGCTTGGGTTTATGTCATCATGTACAGTCAAGGACTAAAGCTCCGGGATAATTACTGATAAATTTCATTATAAAAATGGAAACCTGGTCCAGGAATTCCCTGCATTCCCCAAATCAGCTAATTTTTACTTGAGTAGAGAAGGAGAACTAGCAGCTATGGCAATTGTTAAAACTAGACAGGATAAAATCTGTTACAACCAAGAGTTGGTATACTCTGGCGCACAACTCAGACGAGCTAAAGTGAAGTATGTGGGAGTGGTTACCCCTTTAGACAGGAGTGAGTTTGTTGTGGGTAAACAACAGGAGGACCCGCGGAGGAGTCTCCTTGATCTATTGGGGTATTTATACTACTACAGACTATTTATACATGTGTACTATACAGTTGATGAAGGCAGTGGCTGATGATGTCATAGGGCGTAGCCCATGTGACTGGCTCCACTGTGTGAGAGACTTGTAGGTAAGAATAAAGTAAAAGCAGCGTAGCACGAGAAAGTGGAGTTTGAACAAAAGGGAAAGTGACCGCATGGCACAGTGTGTGAAGACTACTAAAGGAAGTTGAAGTGGAGAATAAAATTTCAAGGTCCGAGAATTTGTGTATTGTAACAAAAACTAGATATAAAAGACCATAAATATGTATCATAATGTAAGATAAACAAAACATACCCTCAGTTGTGTTACAACAAGCTGAGGGGAAAGAGAGAGTGGTTCAAATGGATATCAACCCAGGATATTGGTCATGTGATCCCTTGGTATTCTACTTGTAGTGTAAATAGGTTCCAACACTCCTCCTCAATACAAGAAGAGAGAAAATGAAGCAAAGATAATAATAAAAAAAGGAAAAATAAAAAAGAGATTATCTAATGCCCATAAATTGTTGGAGAGATATGAAAATTTATAAAGATAGTGCTTTAGTGAAAGCATCAGCAATATTGTGTTTTGTATTTATGTATTGGACATGTAAGTAATAAGGCGCTGACTGAGCAACATGTGTAAGGCATGAGGCAATTTGTAAGTGTCTTTGTAAGTAACTACATCATAAGTCACATGATTGATCATGTGACTATAATAAGATAAGATCTGGAGAAATTATAGAAATGATGGATTCATTATTTTTATCATTTTTAGATAAGATAGAAGTAAGAGATCATGACATTACCCCCGCTCTAGGACTCTTGTCCCGAGAGTAGGCCTCAAGTTTGCTGTTTTCCCAATTGAATAGGTTTTTTTGGATTTTTGGAGTTTTGGTGAAATTCTCGAATGATTGAAATTATAGAGCAAATCGGATTCTTCAAGGTGTGCTAGGGTTTTTTGTGTGAAATTGTTGTAGGAGTTTTGGAGAGTTTTTTATGTTCCTTTCGGGTTCCCATGTACGTTCTTCCTTTGGATATCCTTTCCAATGTACTAGGTATTCCTTTTTATTCTTGAATTTAATACCTCTTCCACTTCGTACTCCTTTTGTCCTTCCACTATTGCTGATGGTGGCAGCTTCAGTTTTTGTTGTGTTGGGAATTTGGCTTTCCAGAATGGGGTTAGGACAAATTTTTTGAAGACTGGGTAAACATTTTTCCACTTTCCGGGAAGTTGGAATTTGTAAGCTCCTAATCCTACTTTTGTCTCTATCTCAAAAGGGCCATATATTTTGTCATCTAGCTTCTTCATCGGTCTATCTGTTTGTATATGAGCGGGGCTTCCACATATACTTTATCACTGATTTGGTAATCAATTGGGTCTCTTTTCTTTTTGTCATATTATTTTATCATATTTTTGCTAACTTGTACAGTGTTTTTTCTGCCACCTCTCTTTTATCCTCTCCACAAGTTTCTCTGCACTCTCACTCTTCACTTCTCTTCTGATCTCTGCTACTATTTTTGGATGTTGACCACTATTCAAATAAAATGGGGAATAGCCAGTTGCACTGTGTTCTTTGTTATTGTATGAGAACTCTGCAAGTGGTAGCCATTCCGCCCAATGTGTTTGTTTGTGGTTGACAAATATTTGGAGGTATTGTTCTATCTCTTGGTTTGGTCATACATTTTGTCCATTTGTTTGTGGGTGATACACTGTTGACAGATTCCCTTTAATATCTAGAAGAGTATAGAGATCTTTGAAGAGACAGCATTTTCAGACACCATACATTACCTAACAAAGTGATCTCGGATTGTGGAACCCAATTTGTCTCAAACTTTATTTATCACTAAACAGTCTCGCTACTCGTTCTGATATAAGTTCTGCTTGAGTCGGCATTACTCAGATTATTTTTGAGAATTGATTTACTACTATCATAATCATATTGTAGCCTTAGAGGTCAACAGTAATGATTTCCCAGGGTTGTGTGGGGATTTCATTTGGATGGAGAGGTGCTGCCTTTTTTTGATGGATTGGCTTGGTTCTTTGACACACTTTGCACCCTTTGACATATCTCTTGATGTCTCTGTCTATGTATAGCCACCAGAAGCTTCATGTGATGAGATCCTTTGTTTTATATTGTCCTGGGTGACCTTCCCTTGAAGAATATGAATCCTTCATGGTCTTTCCACTCCCCATTCTCCCTTTTTCTTATTTTGTCTTCTACTTTCTTTACCAATACATTTCTACATTTTCTCTCCTCTGGATATCTCCTCTTGCTGTTTGTGTGTGAGGGACATCCTTATAAAAAGTTCTGCTTTGAGTGCCATGATGTTCTCATTATCTTCCACCCCCTGTCATGATTGGCTTGTCTCGAGAGTAGATTGGTTTTAATGTGTTTAGTTCCCAAAGTATAATGTAGTGTGAATATATAGTTGCTTAACTCAGTAACCCATTGTGCCTGTCTTCAATTTAGCTTTTGAGGTTATTTGAAATATAGGAGATTCTGATGGTTTGTCCAGATCTCAAAATCCTCTTTTGCATCAATCAGATAGTGTCTTCACTCTTCTGATGCTGTCATAATAGCCAGGAGTTCCTTATTGTAGATCTCATAGTTATGTTCTGTTGAATTCAATGCTTTTGAGAGATATGCAATAGGTTTCTATATGTCATCCTGTTGTTGTGAACACTGCCCCCATGGTGAAATCACTGCTGTCCACTTCTACTTTGTACTTTCCGTTGTTGGCTGGTAGGGCGAGTACTGGGGTGGGACTAACTTGGTGTTTGAGTTCTCTGAATGCTTTTTGTTGTTCTGGTCCCCATGTAAACTCTTCTTTTCTAGTCAATTTGGTCAGTGGTTTGGCGATCAACCCAAACCCTTCAATGAAGCATCTATAGAAATTGACAAAACCTAAAAATCTTGTACTTTTTTCTTTGACTTACATTCTGGCCAGTCTAGAATCCCTTTGACTTTAATCAGATCCATGCGGGTTTTGCTTTGTGATATGTCCAGGTATCCAAGGTTCTAATGGATCTTTCTTTTTTCCTTTTCTAGGTTTTTATCTACAGAGGTACCTGACCTGTTTTTCATAGTCTCTACTGATCTCACTAATCCCACTAATGAACAATACAGCATAAAACCCATTTGGGTCTGTTCCTCGTTGTCCTTGGGAGTGTGAGTCCTACAAGGAAGACATTGACCCAGCTCCATAGCTATAAAAACTGGTTGAGCATCTTGTAAGTTGAACTGTGAGGTGATTTTGTCAATAAGGGCTGTTTGTGATATTGCAACGGTACGGTTCAGGCGGTCGCATTCAATAGCAATTCCTACGCAGAATTTTGCCTCCCCTAGATCTGAAATTTGCCATAAAGTTCTGAGTTCAGATTTGAAAACCTCATTCTCCTCCTTTGAACTGGCAATCATCAAAAATATGTCCAAATGTACAGCAGCAAAGCATGTACCAGATGGCGTAGTGGGTGTGTAGATGCAGTATCTACAAGCGAGCGTCATGAAGCCCTATGAGAGCATTATTGAGTTGTGTTCTGGAGATTTTGTTATATTTTGCTCTGAAGAGACTACTCAATTTAACCTTGACTACCAAGGGGAAAGAGCTTCCTTTGTTTTACATACAGATGGCCAGTTTAAATCTTGGGTTAGTGACAGGAATGATATCCTATCAACTCTCATTCAAACACCGAAGAAGACAGTGAAGCCCCTCTGGACCAAGATAGCAATCAAGGTAGAGCCAACTCTCAATCTTTGGATACCAACACAGTAAGTATTCCTTCTCCTTCATTTTCAGACTTGCTTATACTGCATTTTATCAGGTTGCTTAAAGTTCAACAACTACTTCCAACTATGGATCAACTTCACGCTTGTCATATAGTCCTAGTCCTAGCATTTTACATCTCTCCATCAAACCCTCATCCTCCAAGGCTAAGCTAAGTTCTATAGCTTGCTCAACTGTAAAATATATTGCTAGTCTTGGTCACAAAGCTATGAGGACATACACCATCACTCAAAATAGCTTTCCAAACCTTCTCAACCGTTAATCTATCTGCTGGGACTTATTAGTTAAAGCTACCAGTGAAAACAAATCTGCTGCCTCCTTGGCCAACAGAATGAAGATTTTACAAGACAACCAAGAGTTAAAAGCTCAACTATTGGAATATGTGAGTACAACTTATTATTCCAAACATATATAAACCATTCAATTGGAACAGGTTTGGAAGGGTTGCACACAGGTTAGAGGAGAGCTTGTTGCTAAGGCTAGATTAGGTGTTCCTCCTACGTATCAAATCAAACAGTTCCACAATAGGGAGGAGCTAGGAGATCTATTCCATGGATGATCAACTCTGGTGCATTGATCAATGCAAGTATAAACTTCAAGGTATGTATTTTGTCCTCATAAGAATATATACAATCTAATTTGTTGTATAGGATCAAACATCTGATGTTATGCAACCATGGAAAAACAACATGTTCAAAACGCTCTTCCAAAGTCAGTGGTGGGAACCTAAAGGTGAAGAAAGGAAATATCGTAAGAAAGACAACCCATACCTCCATAATGACGCTACACTTGCCCTGGTAGCATGCTCTGTTAGGTTTTCCTTACTTTTTTATTCATAAATTTAATTGTATACTTAGATTGAGTGTGCTTTACTTGGCACTATCAACAATAGAATGATAGAATTCTCTGAGAATTCATTTGCTTCAAGGTATGTACAATTTTCTTTCTGGTTATTTTATGTATTTGCCTCATTTAATTCATAGATGGGAGCATTATATGAACCTAATTCAAGAGTTCAGGGAACATTTCCCAACATATCTAGCAAGTGTGTTTGGTGATATTGAAGAGTTTGTATGGTAAATTGTTTGCTTTAATTTTTTTATTGTCTTTTTCTTATATTTTTTAGGGGTGATCCCAGTACTTTGTCTTTGTCTGAATCCTCCCATCTCATATATGACTTCAATGCTTTAGAGGAGGCAGCTAGGGCTTCCAAGCAGTAATCTCATATAGTTGTACCTGTCATTTATATATTGTGCTTTTATAATTCATTGATATTTTGACTGTTTTTACATTTTGAGAATGAGTGGAAGTAAAATGCTCTGGATTGATTCAGTTAGCTTTGAATGGTGTTTAAAGGGAATAGAACCATTTATATCAATACATTGCAAGGTTGTATACAGCTGGGGTGACTTTGATATATTTGACTTTTTATGTTATAAGTCTGTATATTTTTGCATTTGGTGTGCTATAGTGTACTCTATAGTGCACTATAGCAAGGGACTTTGTAAGATTTGCACTTACAGATCTGAACTGATCTGAGTGATATTTTTGCTATAATAGCATATTTTTTGCACTTTATTGCATTTATAGCCACATCATGTTTTCCTGATGGAATGGGCAATAAGCAGGCGATAGATTTCAAGGGAATGCAAAATTCTATCTACTGAGCATCATTTACTTAGGGGCCTGAAAGTTAATATTTTAAATACACTTTGGCTCGGCTTGGAACATTTTTAATTGTGTTTTCTCATTTTGTATCATTGAAATACCAAATTTAACATGTACACTACATTCTCTAGTAAATTTGGAATTTCAACAATTGTTTCACTCAAATTGAATTTCTTCTTTTGCTCACAGTTCCGAACAACTTAAATAGAAACCTGAAATTCAATGTGTTAATACTAATTTCTAATATCTCTTATTTTGAGCACAGAAAATGTTTAGTAAAATATAATATTTTGTAAGCGCATTTTGGTGACCATTTTGGACGGCTAAAATATTCCTCGCCCAGAATGGGACTGATATGGCTAGAAAATCCTGTCCTAGATTTTTTTGCAGGCATCTTTGGGCCGCCATCTTACGTAAATTCAATCATGTGACAGTATAGTTGACTTTTTGGAACTTGTTTTGCCTCTTTCTCTATTGTTTACTCCTTGCTTGCATAATTGACCGCAACTGAATGGTTGGCACAAGACGTCCCATCTAGAGAAGATATGTTGTGAAGGGGCATAAAGCCTAAGATGTAGTCGGTGATATCTAAGCTCTGGTGTGTGATAGGACCTGACATGATGGTTGTCTTGCTTCTCCAAGTGATGTAAAGGTATTTATATAGAAATTCATTATTCAAGATCAGTCCTGTAAAGATGTTTTCTCAATGTCTCAGACATCAATTTCCCCTTCATAAGGGATCTTGTGGACTGACACTTGCTTGGAAAAACCCCACATGGTCATGCCCAGTGAAAAACGACAAATTTTTGGTACATGGTTTTACATATTTGTACATAAATAGCACATTTTTGGAAATTGCCAAGACTGGCGTGCTCCATCAACACATGCCCTCATCAATTGACATCTTCCTTGAAATCAAAAGAGATCCTTGTCATACGCGATGTGCAACGGTCGGTGCATTCTGCATTCCAATCACGGTACATTGCAGTAAGTCTATATATTTGCAATCAAAATTGCTAGTTAACACCTTTCCCTTCAACAGATAACATAACATAAAATACTATACTAAGCCTCCATTGCATTTCTCCAATGGACAAACCTCTCCTAGGCAGCTCAAAGACAATCAAAGGAAGAGTCAACTGGTACTGTACCTGCAAGTGTAATTGTGGTGCAGGAACATGGGTACACAAGCACACCTACCAGAGGCATCAAAAAGTGATCTGCAATCTCAATGCAAGCGCCTTTTGAGCTCAAACACCCTCTATCCATCAAATAAACCAAGCAAGGCCTTCACTAGTTCAAGGAATAAGGCCATATGAGGCAAGTTTTGCATTTTCAGAATCTCTATATCACATGCTAATAATGTTCAATTTACCACTGCTACTCTATCCCGACAGTCAAACCGAAACAAACCTGAGTCATCCATGCAAGACCAGCATCATCCCGACCAGGATATAAACACCAAAAATCAAGATTCAAACCCAATTACCCCACCACCTCAGAATCAGCCAAGACACAATAACTCTGGGTCTGAACATAATAATCTGCAAGACCAAGGATTTCTCAGCGAGTACAACCTTGAAGAAATTGAATGTCACGCTCACCTAGAAGACCTCAAAAATATGACAGTGTTTCTATGAGCCATGGAGAATGCTTCTCTTGAAGACGAGTGTGCAAAACTTGACCCCGACTACCTCTATCACCTCCGCAACCCACTTCAAGACAATCTTAGCCTTGATGATGACCCCTTCCTCAAGTTTTCCATACAGCTCTACCTAAAAGGGATAAATTTGCACACATTGAGCATATGGTGAACTACATCCGGAAAATGCACACAAAATCCTATCATACTACCGAGTAGAACAAGCTGTATCCGAACTAAGTGGTGTCCAATCCATCGTTTATGATATGTGCATAGGCACATGTCTTGCCTACACGGGGGTATATACTAATCTCTATGAATGTCCAATCTGTAACGACCAAGAGTTAGTTACCCTGGCGCACAACTCAGACAAGCAAAGAGTAATGATGAGGGAGTGGTTACCCCTTAGATAGGACCAAGTTAGTTGTGGGTATACAACAGGAGGACTCGCTGAGGAGTCTCCTGGATCTATTGGGTATTTATACTACTACAAGGTATTTATACTTATGTACTGTACAGTTGATAAAAGCAGTGGCTGATGATGTCAGAGGGCACAGCCTGTGTGACTAGCTCCACTGCTTGAGAGATGGAGTTTGAACGAAAATGGAAAGTGCCGCATGGCACAGTGTGTGAAAACTACAAAAGAAAATTGAAGAGGAGAATGAAAATTAAAAGTGACAAAACCAGATAAACCTGGTCTCTGCCGAAGCAGCCATTGTTCTCCATGGAGCATACCCACCACTCCATGGAGTCACCATTGTTCTCCTAGGAGTCATTATACTATAGTGAGTAGCACCTCCGACTATAAGTAGTAGGGGGTTTAGTATAGAAATACCTCAGTCGTTTCTATAGCCTCTTGGGCAGCAGCTGAGGTATGTTACATTACATTTATTAGAGATTGCCTTAAACTAATATTCATTGTAGTTCCACATAGGTAAATAATAAAGTCGTTTCTATAGCCTCTTGGGCAGCGGCTGAGTTTCACATAGTTTTATTAGGCTATGAGCCCTGGTGCGTAAAAGTTACGCAGGAAATGATTCTTATTTGAAACGGCAACCTCGGAACCATGACAACAGCACACAATACATCCGCATGTCCAGTTCTCACTGGACCCAACAATTTTCAGATATGGAAACTCCGGATCATCTCAAAGCTACGTCGGGAAAATGTTCTCTGGGTTGTTACTGGAGAGGAGCTTAAGCCCTCACCAGGAAAACCTACCTCCTCGGAGGATCCTGAGATCACCTGAATACTTAAGGATGAGAAGGCACATGGAATCATCCAGGACCACATCTCTGATGCCCTTCTAATGAGGACTGGAGACCTCATCAGCTCCAAGGAGTTATTTGATAAACTTGTCTCACTCCATAAGACGTCCAACATTGCCTCAGCCTTCTATTCATTCCAGCAACTCACCAAATTGTCCTGGGATGGGACATCACCTATCCAGGACCACATTGCGAAAATCCAGACAATTGATTCACACCTCTCTGGAATGAAACTAGGAGTTGATACCAAACTCATGGCCTTCGCTCTTCTCCAATCTCTCCCATGCACTCCTGAATGGCAAATATTTCAGTCATCAGTAATCAACACGATTGAAGAAAATAAACTTACCTTTGATGCAGTTGAGATCCGGATCACTGCAGAAGTTGTGTAAAACCCTTATCCCCTATACCGAGTTAACGGAGGGATGAAGGCTCAAATCAAACAAGTAGCGTTACAAGATAGCGATTGAGAATTAATCAACAACTGAGGAAGGTATGTACATGATGGTCTACTATATATATGTTTCTGAAAGTCAACCATGAGGCGCTGACTGAGCTAACATGCAGCAGCCATGAGGCGCTGACTGATGTTCTTTGTAATGGTTCTAGACTCATGTCACGTGATGGTCACGTGATCTGATATAACTACGTATTATGTTATCCGCGCTAAAGCAGCAGCTTAACATATCTTATCTGTCATGTGATCAGATATCAAAGAAAATGAAAAAAAGGAAACTAGCGCTCAGGCTAGCGCTTCTGGTTCAAGTCGTGACATTACCCCCTCCTTAGGACTTTTGTCCCGAAAGTAGGGGTCCATCTTTCCATTTTCCCAATTAAACAATTGTTTTCGGACTCTAGTCGCTGTGAAGTTTTCGAAGGGTTGAAATTGCAATTGGAATCGTATCCGTCGAGGTGCACTAGGGTTGTGGTCGTGGAATGTTTTGACTTTATCTGGTGAGTTGTTTAGATGTTGTTCGGGTTCCCACGTGCGTTCCTCTTTTGGATAATTCTTCCAATGTACTAAATATTCTAATTTCCCTCTTTTTAGACGTGAATCTAGAACTTCTTCGACTTCATATTCTTCTTGTCCATCTACTATTACCGGCGGTATCGGTTTAGGTTTCTGTTGGGAAGGGAACTGTGGTTCTTTGTATGGTGTAAGCTTTATCTCGTTGAAAACTGGATGAATAGGCCGCCATGTCGGTGGTAGCGCTAGTTTATAGGCCGATTCGCCTATTTTTTCCAGTATTTCAAACGGACCGTGTCTCTTATTGTCCAGTTTCTTAGCTGGTCGATCTGTTGAGATATTTGTTGCTTCCACATACACCTTATCTCCTACTCTATATTCCACTGCTTCTCTTTTCTTCCTATCGTACTGCCTCTTCATCTGTTCGGCTGCCTTTTGCAGCGACTCTTCTGCTTTCTTTCTCGTTTCTGTCATTCTTTTTACGAAATCTTCCGCATTTTCGTTCTTCACCCCCACTTTCACTACTTCCTGTGTTCTCAGATGATGTCCATGATTCAAGTAGAACGGGCTATATCCTGTCGCAGAATGTTGTTTGTTATTGTAAGAGAATTCTGCTAGGGTAAGACATTCTGCCCAATCATCTTATTTATGGTTTACGAAGATTCTGAGGTACTGCTCTATCTCTTGATTGATCCTCTCCGTTTGTCCATCCGTTTGTGGGTGCCAAGCCGTCGATGGGTTTGCTTTTATCTGAAGAAGCGTATGTAGATCTTTCATGAATTTTGAAACGAACTGCGGTCCCCGATCTGAGATGATCTTTTTGGGTATGCCGTGGTTTCTGAATACATGATCTCTAAATAATTGTGCCACTTCTTCTGATGTGATTTCCATCTGCGTGGGAATTACCTTGATCATTTTTGTAAACCAATCTACTATTACCATTATCATGTTATATCCATTTGATTCTGGTAATGGTCCGATCAGATCTACCGATATGATCTGCCACGGTTTGTCCGGGATCTCGTTTGGATGGAGCAGTGCTGCTTTCTTTTTATGGTCTGTCTTGGTTCTTTGGCAGACTTCGCATCCATCTACGTATCTCGTGATATCTCTGTCCATATAGGGCCACCAGTATTGTCGAGTGATTAGCTCTTTTGTCTTATATCTTCCTGCATGACCTGCAATGACAGAGTTGTGGTTTCGTCGGATAATCTCTTCCCTCAACGCGGCATCTTTTGGTACATAGATCCTGCCTTTGAATACTATGCAACCGTCTTCGTCTAGCCAACCATCCTCTCTCCTTTCTATCTTTCCTTTCATCTTTTTTACCAGCTCATCTACATTTCCTTTTCTCTTTGCGATCCACTTTGAAATCTCTAATTCTTTCTCTTGACTGTCTGCGATCTTTTGTCTTTGTTCTGGAGAGAGAGTCATTCTTACAAATAGTTTCTCATCCAGTAACACGACATCTTCGTCGTCGTTTTCTCCTTTGTTATGATCTGATCGCCTCGAGAGAAGATCTGCTTTTATATGCTTCCTTCCTGGCATATGATGTATCGTGAAATGATACTGGCTCAACTCCGTCATCCACCGCGCCTGTCTTCTGTTCAACTTCTTTGGTTCTTTGAAATACAGCAGATTTTGATGATCTGTCCATATCTCAAATTCCTCTTCTGCGTCTATTAAGTAATGTCTCCATTCGTTAAGTGCCGTCATGATGGCAAGAAGTTCTTTGTCATAGATCTCGTAATTGCGTTCTGTGGGGTTTAACGCTTTGGAGAGGTATGCAATTGGCTTCCAGTCATCCTTCTGTCTTTGTGATAAAACAGCACCCATAGCGAAGTCACTACTGTCCGCTTCTACTTTGTATTGGCCATGTGGTACTGGGAGAGCTAATACTGGGGCTGAAGCTACATGTTGTTTTAATGTGTTAAATGCTTCTTGTTGTTCATTTCCCCAAATAAAGTCCTCTTTTCCCGTTAACTTGGTCAATGGTTTGGCTACTTCCCCGAAGCCTTCTATGAACCTTTGATAGAAATTTACAAATCCCAAGAATGCTTGTATATCCTTCTTATTTTTGCATTCTGGCCATTTGCTAATTCCTTTTACTTTTACCGGATCCATGCGGATTTCGTTTTCTGAGATGATCAGTCCCAGGTATTCCACTTCTGTCTGTTCGAAATCGCATTTTTCTGGTTTAAGATAGAGACGATTCTTTCTTAGGATTTCTAACACATGTTGCGTCGTTGCTCGGTGCATTTCTATATCCTTTGTGAATATCATGATATCATCTAGATATATGATTACTAATCCTTCATCTATCAATTCTTTGAAAAGCGCGTTCATCATTGTTTGGAACGTGGCGGGGGAATTTGTCAGTCCGAAGAACATGACTAATGGTTCAAATAATCCCCAATTTGTCCTAAACGCCGCTTTATGCTCGTCTCCTTCTCTCATTCGGATATTGTTATATCCCCATCTTACATCCAACTTTGTGAAGTATTTTGCTCCACTCAATTTGTCTACTAGTTCCCCGATCAACGGAAGTGGATATCTATTTTTGATAGTGATATCGTTTAGCTTCCTATAATCTTGAACTGGTCTCAACTTTCCGTCTTTCTTTTTTATGAAGAAGAATGGGGATGCGAACGGGGACTTCGATGGTCTTATCCGTCTCGATTTTAGATTCTCTTTTAGGAACACATCTAGTTCTTCTTGTTCTCCCCTTGCCAATGGATAGATCTTGCAATCTAGGGAGTGATCTCCCGGTATAAGTTCAATTGCGTGATCCCATTGCCTTCTTTCAGGTAACGTGTCAAACTCCTTTTTATCAAATACGTCTTTGTATTGATGAAGGTGTTTTGGCACTATCTCCTCGAATCCTCCTTCTTTTCGATCTTTGCCTGCGGCTTCTGCTAGTTTCTGTGCCATTGTGCCTTGGGCTCTGATATGATAATACTGATTGTGGATCATGGCATCTTCGAAATTATGGAGATTCACCTGTATCATCCTCTCGTCTTCTCTTAGTTCCTTAAAGAATATCTCCGGATCCTCCTCTGGATCAGAGATTTGGATTCTCGGTCTGCATTCTTCAGGACATCTTTCAAAGGTCAACTTCGATTCTTTCCAGTCTATTTTAGGATTATGTTTGTTCAACCATTCATGTCCTAGAAACATTTTTCCGTTACCCAGATTGGTTACGGCAAGATGTATCTTCTCGACGTGTCCGTCGATTTCCATGAGCAGTATTACAAATTCATTGATGGCTCCGTTTTTATTAAGAGTTCCATCTGCATTATAGACTGGAATAGGTCTCGGTATCTTCCTTGTCTCATACCTTTTGTCTTTCACAAATTGGGAGTCAATGCAACTCCCCGTGCATCCACTGTCCAATAGTGCTTCGACTGTTTCTGATTGGAGAGTATCTAATGTAGTAAGCTTACATTTTACGTTCATTTGATTGCCTTGGGTGCCCCTAATGTACTTTTTTGGGGAGGCAATTTCTATGATCGCTTGTATAGCTTCTACTTTTGGTAACCGGTTGATTTCTTTTATCGTTTCCCGGGTTACTTCTCTCGCTCTCTTTTTATGTGTCCAGGCACTCAGAATCCCAATGGATCTTTCTTCCTTTTGGTCTCTTAGCCTGTCTACTACCCATTCTGGGGTCCAGACTTCTGTTCTAGGTTTTTTTAGAGGGGCTCCTGACCTCTCTTCTACAGTCTCTGCTGCGTTTTTCTCCGTAGAGCTCGCCGCATCGGGTGTAGGAATCTTAGGTTCTATCGTAAATGCTGCGCTTTTTAGTGATTCACCCGCCGTCGAAACTGCGGATGTCTTATCACTCTGCACCGCTTTTACTCTAGTTGCATCTTTTTCGTTTCGGATTTCTTTCTTTGTCTGAGTGGAAATAGTTTTATTGTTATCCGCGCTAAAGCTGCAGCTTAACAATTCTGAGTCATATGTATCTACAGTTAAAGGGAGAAATCGATTCGAAACGTCTTTAGGCTCAGTCGGTCGATGCGGTACCGCTGGCCTCTTTAAAAACCCTCAAGGAGTTTTTCCCTTTCCTCTTTCGTCATCTTTTCTAGGAACTCTCGGACATTAAATTATGGCTTCCTTTTTTGTGCGTCTTTGCATTCGAAGCTTCTATGTCCCTTTTCTCCGCATCTGTAGCATCGTCCCTCAGTGCGGAACTTTGCTTTGTCCACCTCCATTCTTTCTCCGCTACCGGTATAGGTATATCCGGTTCCGTCTCTCTTCTTCTCTCCTTCTTTCTTTTGTTCCGAATAGGGTTTCTTCCCAGTATCGGATCCTTTCTTCTCTTTTTCTCTCTCTCTCCAAATATAGTCTATTCTAATAAGTTCCCTTTTCCACTCTTGGTAATCTCTGGGAACATGCCCGCCGTAGATCACCCTGTCTACTAGCGGCTTGTTCATGTTCCTTCTGAGCAGAGATATTAGGAACTCTTCGTTTATCCTATTTGTATATCCCGCCCATCTTTTCTTCTCCTCAAACCTTTCAAAGAAGGCTTGGGCGGTTTCATTGCCCTGTCTCAGGGTCAATATCTCGTTCTTGGCAGTTTTTTTTTCAAAGCTGTCCTTGAACCTTTCTTCCATTTTGTCCGCAAAATACGGCCAACTTCCGTATGTGTTTGTAATATCGAGCCCCAGCTGTTGGGCGTCGACTCGGTTCTCTAGCCAATCGGTCCGGAAGGCCGCGGCTTCTCCTTCTTTCATAAAAGATAGCACAAAGCTTATCTTTTTTCGGTCGTCTTTGAAATATACGGCATCGTCTTCGAAATGTAGTAATAAGGACTCTCTAAAGGCCCTATATTTTTTCTTATCTCCGGAGAAGTTCTCGGGTTTTTCCAGTGCCGTTCTACTTCTTTCCACCTTTTCTGGAGGTGGCGATATCTGTCTCTTTAATTTTCTTTGCAAGACGCTCACTTCTTCGAGCGCCTCGTCTAGCTGGGATTGGTAATGCATTTGTGTTTGTCTTATTGCTTTTTCTACTTCTTGTTTTACGTATGCTTCCAATCGCGCTTCTTTCGGGGGGGGAGTGTCTATTCTGGGTAATGAGTCCATCATTTCCCTGGTAAATGCGCTGTCCGTGCTGTTGGATGGCTCGGGCAGATCTCGATATTCTAGGTTTGACATTGAATGTGAGTTGGGGAGAAGGGGGAGTTTCTGATTTGATCAAAGGGGATGGGATTCTGATGGGTTCTATTTCTGGTAGGGGGAATTGCCCTTTGAATACGTAGTCTTGAGAGTAAATGTGTTGCTCTCCGATCCAAATGTAAAAATCTCTACTAAGCATAGAAAGGAGTTCACCAGTGATAAGCTGGATCAATACACCGCTTTCTAAGATCCTAGTAGTCTATCTGTTCTCTTTGAGTCAAAGTGGTCCTCTTCAGCCCACTACTGACTATGTATGTATGGTAATTATTTTTGTATTTTACGAATTTTATGTAAAAGGTATAGTGATAAATTGGGGTCCGAACGGTTGTCCCAATGTGACCAGCTTATTAAGCTTTCAGTCCTTCTCCCGACTGGCGGACGCAAATGCGCGGCCTGGTCAGAGGAAATCGAAATGGAAACTATGTAAAATTGAGAAAATCCCAATGGTTCCACACCAAAGAGATTATAGTGATATAAAGTGTATTTACAGGGGGATGGTTACGAATGAGTCTTGGGATGAGGAGGGGGAGACGTTGGCAGGAAAAAATGATAAGATGGTGTCGGGGCGAGTGGGTAGGTGATGAAGTGGGAGGGTAGTGATAGTTTGGTTTGAACGTTTGAGTAGGTTTAGGATGAGTAAGATGATGATGATAGTGACGATGATGGTGGTTAGGATTGTTGCTGTTATATTCATAAACGGTACTTGTGGCAGTCGTTGATTGTGTAAAACCCTTATCCCCTATACCGAGTTAACGGAGGGATGAAGGCTCAAATCAAACAAGTAGCGTTACAAGATAGCGATTGAGAATTAATCAACAACTGAGGAAGGTATGTACATGATGGTCTACTATATATATGTTTCTGAAAGTCAACCATGAGGCGCTGACTGATGTTCTTTGTAATGGTTCTAGACTCATGTCACATGATGGTCACGTGATCTGATATAACTACGTATTATGTTATCCGCGCTAAAGCAGCAGCTTAACATATCTTATCTGTCATGTGATCAGATATCAAAGAAAATGAAAAAAAAGGAAACTAGCGCTCAGGCTAGCACTTCTGGTTCAAGTCGTGACAAGTTGCACGACAGTCAGGGAAGGCCCCTGTAGGTTCTGAATCAGCACTCAAATCCGAGGAGAAGTGGTGTGACTTCCACAAAGCCAAATCACACAACACCTCGGAGTGTCAAACACTTCAGTCAGCTGGAAAAAGTCAAAGGAAGAAGGGAAAGGAAAGACACAAGGATAAAGGAAAAGAGAGGGAAAAGGCAAATACGGCAGAGAAATCATCTGGATCTGACTCCAAGGAGGAACAGAGTCATATTGCATTAGAACATGTACATATTTCTAAGCCCCTTGCTAAACGCATTCAAGCTTACCTTGTGTCGGAAGCCGATAAGACCAAAACAATGATTATTATTGACTCCGGAGCAACATCCCACATGGTCTCTCACCGCTCCTGGTTTGAGCCAGGAACATACCATGTTCTGCATCCTCCGAGGACAATCAGTTTTGGGGATGAATCCTCTGTAAATGCCATTGGCATTGGAACAGTAATGCTACAAGCAACTGTTAGCAATAAGGACTACAATATTGCACTGTCAAATGTCTTACTTGTGCCAAACTTCACTTTAGCACTCGTCTCTGTCCACAAATTGTCCAAAACGGGGTTATCAACACTTTTTCCAGCATGGTCAAACACTTGTGAAGTTTGGAAAGAGGAGTGACTTATCCTCACTGCGTTACACAAGCAAGGACTTTATCACATCCAAGCAAAACCTGAAATCAACCCGGAGTCAGCTTTTGCAGCAGTAGATGTAAATTTATTGCACAGGAGAATGGGATACATTGGAATGGACCACTTGCAACAAATGGTTACAAAAGGACAGCTCCAGGACATAGACACCCTTACCGGAACCCCAGAGTTTTGTGAACCTTGTGCTTTAGGAAAGATGAAGAAATTACCTTTCCAGTCCACTGGAGGAAACCGAGCCAAGCACCCCATACAAATTGTGCACACAGATGTTGGAGGACCAATCAAACTAACTTCCAGGGAGGGTTTTTGGTACTGGATTATCATTGTAGATGATTTCTCTAAATTTCCATGGATATATTTCCTAAAACATAAGAGTGAGGCACTGGAATGATGCAAGCAATGGAAAGAAGATGTCCAAACATTCTTCCGGACTCATTTGGGAGAAGAAAACTTCACTCCACTTTACACAAAATTCCTCCGGAGCAATGGGGGAGGAGAATATACTGGCAATGCATTTAAAAATCAACTCCGAGGAGATGGTGTCGTCCAAGAAACTATAGCTGCGGAGACTCCGGAACAAAATGGCATTGCAGAACGCATGAATCAGACGATGGCTACATTAGCAACCACTATGCTCCATGATTCCAAGCTCCCAAAGTCATTTTGGGTAGATGCCATGCAAACAGCTGCATATATTACAACACGCAGCCCAGCATCAGGACTCCATGGAAAGACCCCATATGAAATACTGTTTAAAAGGAGAGTTGATCCAATTTTGTTTCGCCCTTTCGGATGCCAAGCATATGCCTTGATTCCGAAAAACAAAAGGCAAGGGAAGTTTTACTCCAAGGGGCGCAAAGCCATAATGATTGGCTACACACATGGAAAGCAAGCCTACAAACTCCTAGACACTGAAAAACGGACTGTGTTTTCCAGTTGGCATGTCACATTCAATGAATTTGGAAAGGTACAAAAGGACAACACTGCTCTCTGGAACACAGACACTAGCACAGATCAGTGGGAGGGACTCATTCCAGAGAATGCTCACTATCCAGACCAAAATACATTGGAGGAGGATGATCCTGACCCTTGGATCCGAGATCCAAATGAATTGCAAATGGAACCACATCTCCAAGAAGATGTTCCACAAGCAATGGAACCATATCAGCATGAAGATGTTCGGAGAGCAGTGGGGCAATACCTCTGTGGAGACATTCCGAGAGCAGTGGGAGCACCTGATCAGCTAAGACACCCTCCACAACAGTCTCTACAACCAAGACCTGAACACTGGCCATCTTCAGAATGGAAAGCCAAAGTAGAGTCACAGTCAGTGGGAGGACAGCCCCTCAACATACAGCCAGCTGATGTGGAAAAAGTCCAAATACAGCTAGACAGCTTGTCCATTGGATCAGCTTCTGGAAGGCATACAACACCTCCAAGGAGTCATCCAACACCTCCGAGGAGTGATTCAACACCTTCAGGAGTGAGTGGGGCAACAAATACACAAATATGTCTACTCCCTGGAGTACCTGCACAAGTTCCTAAAAGAGCAGTCATGCCTGCTGAAGTCCTAGGAGTACGCAGAAGCAGTCGCCAGACCCATCCTGCAGACAAAAACCGAGATTATCAAAGGACTCTAGATGAGGAACAGTCTCAAAAAGAGCAGCATGACAACTCCATGGAGAAACCTGAGGTTCATGAAGAAACATCTGATACAGAGGAGACATTCTTTGCTGGAATAGCAAGTACCGGTCCATCTAACACAGACCTTCCAAGGACACTAAAGGAAACCTTATCACGTCCGGATGGAGAATTATAGAAGTCTGCCTTGGAAGAGGAGCTCCTAAGTCTCAATATTAATGCAGTATATAACACTAACCCACTTCCAAAGGGAGTAAAACCTATCACATCAAAACCTGTGTTCCGGATCAAGTTTAGTCAAAACAGAAATGTTGAGAGATACAAACTCTGGATTGTTGCACGAGGTTTTACTCAAAGGGAGGGGATTGATTACCAGGAGCTTTCTGCTCTGGTTGCAAACTTGGAGTCAATCCGAATTATTCTAGCCCTGGCAGCAAAGTACGACCTAGAACTTGATCAAATGGACGTATCCACAGCTTATATCAATGGAGAACTTGAAGAAGAACTGTACATGCTTCCTCCAGGGGGTGTTCCTATCCAACCTGGATACTGCTGGAGGTTGAAGAAATCCATCTACGGATTAAAACAAGCTGGTCGTACATAGAACAAAACTTTTGATCGCAAGCTCCAGGAGCTCGGTTTCACAAGACTAAATGCAGAAACATGTCTCTATGTATTCCATGACAACAAACAAATATGCTTTTTTGTTGTCTATGTAGATAACCTCCTCTTAGGAGCTTCATCCCAAAAATTCATGGATATCACAAAAGCCAAACTCGAATCCATATTCAAAATGCGGGACCTTGGAGAAGCAAAATACAACCTCGGAATAGAAATCCAACGTGATCGTTCAAACAATACAATATCCCTATTGCAACGCCAATACATTGACACAGTCCTGGAGTGTACTGGAATGAAGAACTGCAAACCAGTATGGATACCAATGGCCCATGGATCAAAACTCCTTGCAAATGCTCCAGGGGAAGATATTGTGCAACACAAGATGCATATTGAAGGGCGTCAAGTGTCATACCTCTCAATTGTAGGCTCCCTCATGTATGCCATGCTCGGAACCCGCCCAGACATTGCCTATGTTGTTGGAATACTAAGCAGGCATAGCTCAGCTCCAAGGAGCCATTACTGGGAAGCTGCAAAATGTGTCCTCTGATATCTGAAAGCAACCAGGGATATGGAACTAGTATATGATGTCACAAATGTCTCCATGGACATGGATTTCTATGGATATTCAGATGCAGATTGGTCTGGAGACCCAGACACGCCTCAATCAACATCAGGCTTTGTTTATATCACCATCCGAGGAGCAATCTCCTGGACAAGCAAAAGACAAATAATCCTCAAAACATAGAGGTCCACGGAGTCAGAG